TATATATATATATATATATATATATATATATATATAGGATTGTAGGTTCACACAGTGTGCCTTGTCTTGTAGTCCTCTGTAACAGCGTCCAGAAAAGATTATTTTTATATGAATAATAAAACTGCTATATAGGCTCATTTCAGGTGTTTATTAGTTTGGGAGTATTATCGCACTTACTGTATGACATGGATCAATCCCTTGCATTTTTTCCTGAGTAGAGAACTTAAAATAAACGTGTGACTAGTTGACTAGAAAAAAATCTTTAATCTTTTTTATGTATGGGGGTGCTAGCCCCTAGCGCCGCCCAGTAAAGACCATTATAGTGACGCACGGATCGCTATAACATCATATTTCTGCTTGAACACAGTTCTGTATATTCATGTAGTTGTCAAAATTAATGTATAGCAAGTGATTTATAACAGATGCTCACTGAAGAAGCATGTTTGGAGAAGTTTCTGAGGATCCGTTATGTACATACGGGCATCAAACGCTTCAAATTAGCTTATTCTGACAGAGAAACTATTCACTGATGACATCGACCCGCCTTCCGATCACTGAGTTTCCACACATTCAGAATGGCTTCATTTTTAATTTGTATTTTGGTGTGTTTAGTTATTCTGCATGGATCTGTGTATGCAGTCCTTTGGCATCTCCCTGTGGTCTTGTTTGGTATGGCAGTTTGACTTGTGCTTATTTGTTAATGTTACTGTATAATTAAGGTTTATGTACTTTTAAGTAGCTACTTTTAAGTTGTAAATAATATCTGCAGTGACATTTTTGCAAAGTATGTATTGATTTGGAGAGGAGAGATGCCTTGGAGTAAAAAAGGTTCAGGACCACTGGCTTAGACAAATGTTTCACATGCTGAGAATGTTAACCTAACATATAAACCATAAATGTTTAAGAATCACGTAGGCTACCTCTGGGCGATTCATGTTCAGATAGATCTTGAACTGCACGCTCACGCCAGAAAACTACTAATTGGCCAAAATGCTTCACTTGACTTTTCGGATATCATCTACTCTTCCCTGTGGATTACCTCTGACCTACTTTCTGTACGATCTGAATTTCTGCATATTGAATTTTAGAATTCTGAATTTGATGTTCCATATTTCCTCTTCATCTTGAAAACTTGAAGCTGTATTTTTAAAAACTGGATATTTGCAGTCTAAGATTTCAGAACAAAAAATGTGCCCTTTTAAAAATACATGTCTTTAAAACTCTGCCATAAAAAATATTAAGTTGTGTTAAATTTTAAATGTTTAATATTCAAGTAAAAAAAATCTAATTCAGAACTTTGTTAAATGCCACATAATATTCAGTTTTGTTAAATGATACTTGTCAATAATTCAAATTTACACAATACAAATTCAATTAGTTTTGTCATATCATAAGCTCCATAGTTAAAACCTATGTTTTATTATATAAAAATAATTTTCACTCAAAAGTCACAATTTACAGAAGGACATGTTAGTTACATTTACCTTTTAAATACCCACAAACAAAAAATATACCAATATTAAAGGGGTCATATGATGCTATTTCAAGTTTCCTTTTCTCTTTCTCTTGTTACAAGCTGTTCGTGAATAGATAAGATCCCTAAAGTTGCAAAGACTAAAGTCTCAAACCCAAAGAGATATTCTTTATAAAAGTTAAGACTCGTCCACGCCCTCCTAAAATGCCTCGTTTAAACACGCCCCCACATGTATACGTCACTGTGTGGGAAGATTTGCATAACACCGCCCAAATGTTCACGCAAAGAAAGAAGGCATAACTTTGATTCTCGCTGTAGTATTGTTGCTGCCGCCGCCGCCATGACGTGAAGGTGTTGTGTGTTTCATTGTGAAAGCGAAACTACTTTGTTTGGTCTTCTAAAAGAGGACACAACTAGAAATCAGTGGTTATGTTGTATTTACAACACTGTTCCAGAACAGTTCAACCCAAATATTCAGATGTGTGCAGCGCATTTTACGGAGGATGGTTTCTTGAACCTAGGAGAGTAGCCTTCAATGCCGGCTGTACACAAAGGCTGTTTCTATAAAGTGGGGCAATTCCAACTTTGCAAGGACAGTCTGGCGCTTCTGACTCACAGCCTGTA